CAGCTCTGAGTTAAAAAGCGAGATTTAAATCAAGGCTGGCTCAAATCGAGTGAAATCCCTTAACCCCCAAACCATCCTTTCCTTACTAGAGTTTAATCAACCAAAATCATCAAGGAGACCAATAACAATGGCACTTTTCTCATCCAGGCATTTGAAAAAGCCTCTGTATCGCTGATATTTAGCAGTAACAATAATAATGTTAATATGGATCAAAGCCTCTGTAACAAAGATAATAAGCATTAAGAGTAATAGTGGATATTGCTGCTGTTATTATTGGTTTGGGGAGGTGAGATTTACATCACTGGAACTCACTGAATGTCCGTAATCTACAAATACTTGGGGAGCATAATTTTCTGCTACTTTAAGTACCTACATGGTACGTGCTCTATCACAGAATGTAACTCAAATTACAATAGTGCGAAATAAACCCCACCCCAGCAAACCACCTCGAACAGCAAAACTCTTCCCATCTTGGTAGTTTTTTGAAATTCTAGCCAATATAGGCATATTTCACTTCTCAAAAATGGGAAAATTCATCTCGCAAGCTTCCCTTGTCTTGCTAATAAACTGATTTTTTTTTTTTTTTTTAAATTAAGTACCACTGTTCTGAAAAACAGAGAATTGCTGTGGAAAGTTACAACCAAAACATCAAAATAAAAAGAACAAACCAGAAGTATTGTTTTTAGGAAATTCTTTTATGGGAATGGTTCCTCTGAAGGAACTGTATGGAAAAGGAATTAACTTTTTCTTGCTAAAAGCCCAAATTCTACCGTGAAAACTAAATAGCCATTGAGCCCTGAAAACAACATACTACCTGACTGTCTAAAACTAAGATAAGTAACTCCCAATAAAGGCTGAAAACTGGGAATCTGCAGGTAACAAACCTGCACTTGTAATGGAAAGAGCAATGACCTTAAAGGTCTTTTCCATTTGGAACCTGCTCCGATTTGTCTTTGGTGCCATTCAGGGATTCATCGTTTCAGTCCTTCAGCCCTTCCATGTTCCTGCACAAATAACATGGGATATACAAGAGATACAAATGCTGCTCTTGCTTTGAAAAATGAACAAGGGGAAGGATAACACTGCAGCATTAACTCTGGCTGTCCAGGCTCATGGAAATCCAACACCACAGGTTAATAGAATTCTTTTTTTTTTTTTTTTTTTTTTTGTAATGGTTTAATAACAAACACATAATTTTCCAAGGAGAAAGAAAGAAAGTATTTTCTCTATTGACCCTGTAGCTGCATTCCTCAAATTAGAAAAACACTATGGTGAGGGACAGCAGGCATTAAATAGGAAAAGTTTGTGGAAATTAATAGGAAATTAAATTCAAAGGTATCTCTAAGGCTCCTTTGCAATCACAGCCCAGACATCTGTGTGAGTCTCGGTTTTTTCGACACACCTGAGGCCTTTCACCCTCAGTTTAACAAATTAATTCCAATGGAGAGGCCTCCAGCCTATTTAATTTCTTCATGGAAGTTTTTCCCTCCCAGTCTCACACATTACTCTCTGTTCAAAACAGTGGAATACTTCACCTACTTAAGTAAGTTCAAGTCAACTTACAGCTCTAGAGTCCACTGTGAACAGAAAGAAGTGTCTTATCTGTGGTTGACAGTCAGCTAAGATAGAAAATTGAGGGTTTTTTTCAACATGAAGTGTTTGAAGTTTGAATTTTAAGTAAAATATTACTGACATGACTGTTGTGCCTTTGAGTCGCCCTTTTAGTCCCTTCACTCTCCACACATTGGAATCTAACTTGGTCCTTTATGTTGTTAGAATAAAAAAAGGAAATATGAAATGCAATTATCATTCAATGATTATGCAATTAGGTGAAATAGTTATGATGAAATCAAAGGCCCAGAATTCAAATACTCTTTTAAGTAATAACAATATAAATAATTTGTAATTTATCTCAAGCTCAGTCTGCCAACTAGAGTGGTTCTTTCTCAGTCTCTCGTAAGGCCTGTGGCAGTTTTTGGTGCTCCCTGAGGAGGAACCCAGACCTAATTTTTTTATCTGTTGTTCTTCCTCAATCTGAATTAATAAATTCTAAATTATATCTGAACATTTTGGTCCTGTCTTGTCACTAATAATGGTGAGAAAAAAGCTGAGAGAGCACAAGATGCCACAACACTGGGTCTCATCTCAAACACAGTGTCTGCATTAACGACAGGTGACACTAAATATTCTTCCCAATATTTGTTCCACTTAATTACTGTAACTTTGGAAAGTCCTCTACCTGTCCACTATACCTCTTTCCAGTGATTCCCAGCAGTAATTAGTCAGATTAAGTACAAAATACGCAAAGATGCTCCTTTTTTTTCAATAGTATCTCTATTCACCATCTTTCAACCCCACCAAGCACTTTACTTGTTTTGATATGGAAAACCAGCAATCTGCCCAGATACTCTGGTATCTTATATTTTCTATTTCTGGCTCACAAGGACTCCTAAATTTTTCTTGTTCCAAGTTACCTTTTCTTGTTACCTTTCCAGGGGCTCCTGGGCAACCCTGCAGGCTGTATCCCATTATCCCTCAGTGTACTGAACACAGTAGGGTATCCACAGAATAGGAGGAACTGCTGGTTTTTGCATCTATTAGAGTTTTAATCAGGCTCTTCACTTCTATGCTCAGACACTCCAGAAATCTGCCACATCCGACTTCTTTCATGATTTAGGAAGGAGGCACATATTCTAAGTATAGATAATAATTGCACCATTTAAATGATAATACCAAGATCTTTTCTAGAGGGAAGATATTCATGCAGGGCACTTTTCCCACGAGCAGCTCTTTCACAAGGCTATCCATCCTCACACCAGATGTCAGATACAAAAAGAAATACTTTGGCATGAATAACAAAGTTCATTTGACTGAAGGATTTACCTCCCAGGAACAAGAGCCTCATAAAACATAAACATTGGGAGCAAAGTGAGCCACATAAGGGCTTTTGCTAAAATTAAACCCATAACTTGCCACTAGAAATGGGACGTTTCATCTGTTCAATAAGCACTAAAGTTCTCTTTGTTTTTATGGCATCGTAATCTTTGATTACTCTGATAAATATTTGGACTATACAAAACATTGCAATGGAACTAATCACAGTTATAAAAAAAAAAAAAAAAAAACTACCACAACAACTGTGTGTGGAAATGAATTGGGAATGCAATGATACCAGCACATTTTAGAGAAGTTCAAACACAGAACCACATTATTTTAAGTGGCTCCCAGCCTCATTCTTTTATTCTGTGTAGTCATTTACACCTGAGGAAAATGGTTATGAAAGTTCTAATGCTTGCTGGCTTTGCATAGGCAGCAGTTCCAGAGATGGAATACCAGCCATGGAATACCCTTTCAGGTGCCAGGGATTGTATTCTGCCCATAGCTGAGCCAGAGAAGATCTATAGTCAAAAAGAGCAACTCAAGAAGTGCTTTCCAATACCTAGAACTGGTTTTAGAATCCAGGAAAATGATCAGACTTCTTGGGGAGCTGTAAAAACCCCAAGAAAATATCAACTTTCTAAAGCAAAAAGCTTTTCTCTACCTCATTATATTCTGAGCAGATGCATTAATGTAAATAAAGTTCAAGTGCAAATCACATCAGATAAGAAAGTAATTCCAGTGGTGAAAGTCACGCCCAGTGAAGCACCAGCAACATTTATGAAGTGGTAACAGGAATATGTTTGAATCAATGGGCTGCACATTTCCCTCACTGGTGCAATAGTGTCACATACTGTCAAATGTTTTTAACATATTACTTCTAACAGCTGAAGTTTGCCTTTGGTTCCAGCAGACTAAACCCAGAGCAGCTGAACCAAAGGCAGTGCAGATACTTTGGATGTCACTGACTGAGAGTAAGAATGTGAGGTTGCACTTAGCATTTATACAGCCCTTTTCATCTTCAAAGAGCAGCACAAACATTAGCCACTACCAGCTCTCTCACAACGACCTTCACGCCAGACTCTTGGGATAAAAGCAATACAGAATAAGAAAAAAATGGACAAGATGTGTAATCAAGAACACACCAAGCTCAGACGTGGAAACCTCCTCTGCCTCGTGGTAGATTCTGTCTCGTGGGGAATGCCAGGCCTTTCCCCACAGCTCAGGTACTAAGTCATCATACAGTGTATTTTAGTCACATGAGAGGAGGATAATAGTCCTTGAATAACAGACTTGTTACTATAGTTATAGAAAACAGCTACACTATTTTAATAGGTAAGGCAATAAAAAGTAATACTGCATCAAAAATTTGCTGGCAGCTGTCACAGGGTGAGCCAGGCACACACCCAGGTTAGATGGCAGGATTCCATGGCTTTGGATTCCTACTCTTGAGTCATTCTGGGATTATTTTTTCACTTCTTCCAATTCAAATTAGGAATTTTGTAAATCTCTTTTGTGAATCTTTCTTAGAAGCAGCAGAAGCTTTTTTTGCCTGTCACTTCTCTCTACCCTCCAACCTGGACTGGCAATTTGATTTTCAGTTCTGGGTGGTTCTAAGCCCAGAATCTCCAATAAGTTCCTCATGTTTCAGTCACCTGCACACTTTATGCAGAGGAATAAATTGGAGCAGACAGTCCTCATTTTCCTGGTGACCCAGAACAGCTTTTGTTGCATGAACACCTTTAATCTCCTGTTTCTGGGTTTGAATTGAATTCAAGTGGGGAGAGATGAAAGCAAGCATCTCACAAATCTGCTACTACAGCTGGTACTTCTCAGTCTATCATATGCTGGCTCTAATTCTCTTTGATTCTTCTTAAAATTATTCCTTCTATTTCTTAATTTGACAATCAGGCACTCATTGCTATTTTTTGACTATGGAAAAAAAAACCCTCCCCCCCCCCCTCCTTTCTCACAGCTATTCCTTCAGGGAAAAAGAACCCAAACTTACTGTATTATGATATCAGTGGAGGAATTTAACTTCTCCCTTGGTAGGTTTTCTTATGGAGAGTACAAATGAGCAGATTAACAATAGTTCATTACTTACAGTTCAGCAAAAGACTTACAAAGTAAACTGAGGAGTGAAAGGAGGATGAGGGTCAGGCTGATGTGAAGGGCATCGCTTGCACTGCAGTCCATTTTGGATTTCTTGCAGGTACACACTTGTAATTTCAGTTCTGTGTTGTTAGTCAGAGGGGGTTTCCCAGAATCTGTCACTGAGATTGGGATGTTGTAATTGGCCTTTTTCAGGTTTTGAAGCAGGATGACCTGGGCATGAGTATCTGCAAAGAATGAGGGGAGAATCAGCCAAATGGTGGTTGCTTGGAAGGGAAGAGTATTGTGCAGACAGTATCAGACATGCCATAGTTAGCCATGGAAATTAAGAAGAAAGTGACAACACACCAAAAAAAAAGGTAAAAGAATTGAATTGGAGGTCAGAAGAGGCAGTACAGAAATTCCTTCTTGGGCTGAAAGCAAATTGCAATTTTTATCCAAACCCCACCAAAAGAAAAGACTTCTAAGAGCCCCTTTTGTTTAAATAATTATTTGGTCTGCAAATTATTGGCAGAAGTTGCCTGTGAAAGCTAATATACTAATGAAATGCTAAGGCATGTCACCCTCAAAGCAAAAAGAGGGAAGAATATATTTATTTGCCTAAGGTAAAAAAAACCCCTTCCTGTAAGGAAATACAGGCAAAGCTGCTGAAACACTCCCTCAGTTTGCCTGAAAAGGCAGTGGAGGGAAGTAAAGCCCCTTCAGATCCACAGATCTGATCCACCTGAGCAACAGAGGGTTATAACAGCTCCTGATGCCCAGGTGAGGGTGCAGACTCACCCAGGTGGCTGTGCTAACTCTTTTAGGGGTGGAACAGGGTGGTGGTTTGACGTTTGGAGAAGTGCAAAAAAATAAAAAGGGTTCTTCCACTTTACCCTGCGGGTAGGGACAGACATCACATCCAGCTTTTTGTAAGACATGAAATGAACTAAAACACTGGAGAGCAGCAGAGATAAATAATACATTCTAGGGAAAAAAAAAAAAAAGAACAGGGATGATCTACATTAAAAAGGAATGTACTTTGTGCCCACAACTTGCCATAGAAACCTTCTGCAATTGCATGGTGTGTGCTGTGATCCTCTTATGAATCATGTAAGGTCCCAGTGCATTGGGGTATTTTATTTGTGGAGAGTTCAAATACTTAAAATTACGAAGTTTTTCACTTACATTTTTAAAGCCCATGCAAAACTTCCCTGCTGTCCTACAGCAAAGCCTTGTGCACCTCAGGCAAGCAAATTCCATGCCAGGAAATATCTTTACAAAAGTGTAAGTCATTAGCGGCCTCTTTTTACTGCAAAGCTAAAAGAGGCAACTTCAGTCAAATTAAGAAGAGGGAAAAATTTTCAGGTTTCAGAATTATTGTGTTCCACAGGCAGCTGGTCCCAGCAAACCCAGTGTAAAGCAGCAGCGATGGGTCCATCCTGCAAGATTTTCCTGCAAAACTGCCCCAGAATTCACAGAGTGCCTCAGGATGAGTGCAGTGAGGTGTAGAGGTGGGAGCACTAAATGCACAGTAAATAAAGTAGCAGACTTACTGTTGAGCCTGTTGATCCTCCACAATTTTTCTGGGCCAGATTGCTTGCTCAGTTCAAATTTAAAAGGGTCTGTGTTGGGATGAAGGTCTTTGTCTGATGCTCCAAGTACCACTACCCTGAGATCTTTTGCATCGTCACAAACTTTTGCCAGCGTTGGGTAAAGGGATGGGACGTTGTCATTGACATCCTCCAAGGTGATGTGTAAGGTTCCTGTCCCCGTAGCAGGAGGGTTACCTGTTTAAAAAGCCAAACATTTATTTCTTAAATCATACTTCTTTCATAGACTCTTGCTCTTATTTGCACCTGCATGCTCGCAAAGGGAAATAATTTTTGTAGATCTTACCTCTTTTATATGAAAATGATTGCTTAAAAAACCTGATGAGTCACTCTGGTAAATTCACTGCTGTATTTTCAGAATGCAGCCTGTCTGAGTCTCTACAGTATGGAAAATTATTCTATGGAAACCTCTGGGAGAGGAATATTTTGAAGTTAAAATGAGAATAGGACATGAATAGATACCTGGAACAGAACCTGTTCATCAGCACATACTGAGAGAAACATAGTGGGAAACATCCCCTAGACAGCACAGTATTAAAGGAACCAAGAATAAGACAAGTAAGAGGAGAAATGACAGCAGAGAGGAATCAGTTTGTATGGTGGGTGCCCAGAAGCAGAACAGGAGCAGATCATTCCCCAACAGCCCTTAGGGCCACGTTTAGTTATGTCAGCAGACGTGAAACCTGTCAACCTGCGCAAACCCAGGGAAACGAGCTGGTTTATTTACCCAGAGCCACCCTGTGTTGGCAGCAGAGTTTCTGCAGTTATCTGCCAGCCTCAGCCCTGAGCTGAGCATGCTGTTCACTTACCGTGGCACCACGACAAGGCTCAGTGCCAGGGCTGGGACTGACAAACCAGCCGTGGCACCAGGAGCGTTCAGGAGGCACAGAGTGCCCCTGGGAGCCGGGCTGAGACCAGCACCTCATCTCACCTCATCTCACCGGGTCACACAGGAGCCAACAGGTGGTAATAACTTTCAGTCACTTACAGATGTGCTGTGGCTGGGTCAGTAACCCACTGCTTTCAGTCTAAAGCTCAACAGCTTGTTTCAGGTCCCCTTGCCACCCCATTTTCATCATGTCAAAGTTTTCTAAATGCACATTGTGTCCCTCACTGCACACTGCACTTCACAGTGTCTCGTTTGAAGCGCTGCGCTGGTGGGTTGTTTGCTACCCTCGTTGTTCTGATTTAGTACACAGGAACTGTGATCTCTGCACTTCCCTTGGCTGTAAACTCTTCACAGGGAGAATGGATTCAAGAGGTTGCACTTAACCTGTGAAGCACCAGAGCAATGTGTCACAGTTTCTAGTTGAGCCCTGGAAGAGGTTTCACTTTAGCATAATCACCCTGGCCAGAGCAGCCCAGTAAACTCCGGAGTCATTGCTGTGCTGGGAGTGCATCCTAAGGGAGAAGCAAATACCCTGTGGTCTGGATCTGATAAACTGTTAACAGAGTAGAACGTAATTAGTCCTTTCAATAACAAATGTTACTAATGGTGACACTTCATCTGTTTCGTGCACACATAAATGCATCGCAAAGGCAGAGCGTTCATAGTTCTCCAGCTTTGCCCTCCCCTCTCATCTCGCACTTTGTCATCGGAAGGGTTAGGGTTGAGTTCTTTTTAATGAAAAAGAAACTATTTTTCACTTTTTATTGGACTAATTGAATTTGCAGAAAGACTCCAACACATTTTTTGTTCTTGATATATTATTAAGTAAAGTCACACGGCAGAATGGATGAAAAGACAGTCGAGTATTTGAAATATGATCATAAAAGCCAGCCTTTCATGCACTTAATTAAACTGCTGTCTTTAATTTTGAATGCATTATTTCCACACTGGACTGATAATGTCTTATGCACTGCCCTTCTTATCTTTCTCTGAAGTCAGTAATATTAAAATCTGCCTTTTGAAATTAAGAAGCCAACAGCATTATGGATGTCCTGTAATTTTGTCACACGCAGATATGGCTGCATTTTCCCTGCCATGGAAATGTCTCACTCTTTGTAAGGGCCAAGGCAAGGATTACACACAGACAGAGAGGAGGGAAATTGCTTTTGTTCATTTGAATGACTTATTCTTTGGTTGGTTTATTTATGATGATTTGAACAAAAGCTTTTGGTGATTTATGAAGACCTCCAAAAGAAAAATAAGCGAATGTCAAGGTCATAAACTGAAGCTTGTTAACACACATATCATAAAAATATAACAAAAAGGGAATCAAGGAAAAATGGTCACAACATATCCATTGGGAATATAGGATTTTTATAAATTTGACAGTATTATGCTGTAGAAATAATTCAAAAATCCCATGATCTCCAGATGGCTTTGGTTTTGAAAAGAAAGATATCCAGAACATATTTTAATTCCAAAGTAAAACTTCTTTTAATTTGTGTTTTAAAACCTTGCAGCTGAAAGCAGAATTAATGTGCAGACTGAGACATAAAGGGCTTTGTCCAACAGCCCTTGGGAGCAGCTTTTCCAAAGAGCTTTGCTCCCACTTTGGTCACTGAACAGGATTGTCCTTCCCTCCTGAGGCTGAACATTTCAACCCTTCAGGTGCCTTTAGAGCCATTCGGGATAGAGAGAATCCCAAACTCCTGCTAAGGCTCCCACAAGTGGCACATCTGGGAATAAACTCTGGCAAACGTAGGAAATGAAGCAGCATTACTGATGTGTGTAAAAGCTGCTGAGGCAGAGGCTGAAGGATGACTCATTTCATCCTGGAACAAAGTGAAAGCCTGGCACGAATCCTCATTTTAACCATCTTAGGCGAGACTGGGAACCCTAACTTGGAAGATCTTACTTGCGTTTCTGTCGCACCGAAGGTCACATTTAGTGAAAAAAATTAGTTTCAAAAGAAATATTTTGGAATCGGATACTTTGCATGCTTTTTTATGGTTGAATTTTAATGAAAGGCTGAGCAGAATCCTATTTGAGTTATTATTGTAAAGTCTTAAATTATAAACCCTCTATGGAATAAGCCAGGTGTGGTTTTTCGTATTGTTTCTTTTAAAATTGGGTCTTTAAAATATTTTTATTTTAATATTTAATGGATATTATAAACTAAACAAAATGGGTATAATAGAATATTCATCCAGGTAAACAAAATTTCATTTAATTTGTGAAAAACAGCAGGAAATCCTCAAGAAGCATTTTCCCTTCTAGTTCGGTTTTTTCCTACTTTTGATACCAAACTTGACTAAAATGGAGCAACTTGCCCAAGGGACAATAAGGATTATCAAACATTAAAAAAAGTACATTTCCACATGCTGTGAGAAAATGGACTTTAAATGAATCAGATGAAAGTCAGTTTACATGTAAAGAACATAAATTATTTTGTGGCCCAGCTAAGTAACAAAGCATTGACAATCAACTGCCAAGAAAAATGTCAGACACACAAGTCAAAAAGTGTTAAAACTGGGAGACACTGAGCCAGTGTGTTTTCACTTATATTTAGGAAGTTCATCTAACAGTATTGAAAGCTAAACACAGAAAACCTTGTGTATTTAGAAATCTGGTGGTTTACATCATAGTCATTAAAGCAAAGGAATATTCACTTGAATGCCTCTACATAACAAAATGTAATTAGGAACAAATATGAAAAAAAAAGGCCTTTAATTATTATACTATATAATTACTATGTTAATATTATATACTATATACTAAATATTTAATTATCATACTATTATACTTTTTGCTTTGTTTTGTATTTGAGAACATCAGAGATGTTGGATTCTGGCAATAGTTACCAAATTTCCAAAGGGGAAAAGTCAATCATTCTAGAGAATCCAGCTGCTACACAGGTTTAAGCAACAATACTGCTGGAAGCCAGAAATGTTTTTAGGAAGAATGGAGGATGAACCATCCCCTTTCACGTGCTCATTATGAATGGTAAAAGGACTTCTGTACTCATTTCTTCTTATTAAATTAAGCTTCCAGCACCACCAAATGAATACATATTACCTATGCCCTTCTATGCTATGATGCAGAAATTACAAGGCTATTTAATTCCTAGGGCCATCAATAGGGTATCCATTGCCATATGGATTACTTCTCAAGCTGAAAGAGTGGAAATTCATTTATTCTAAATTTTACCAGAATATTTATGGCTTACCATTTAGCAGCAGTTGTTAATCCACTTGCACTATCCCTTACGTGACCCAGAAAGCTCAATTCTAACTTTTTTTTCACCACTTCTATATTTTTTTTGGGTAACAAAATTCCACAGATACAAAGTGAATGAGAAATTATAGTGAGAACCATTTTTCTTCATATTTATCAGGAAAAACAAGCCTTTGAGAATTTTAGTTGGCTAATTTCTGGCATGGTTACCTTTTCCCTGAACCATCACGCATGAAGCCTCATCTCTCAAGAATTCTGTAAACTGCAGCTGAGTCACACTGAGGTCAGCTTGGAACTGACTCTCACAGAATTTCCTTCATTTTACTCCCACATAACCTCCATTAAAGTGTAGGACTGCCTAGGATATCTCCCTGGATGTGGAGTTTTCACCAACTTTTCTATTTTCAACTTTACAGTTGCCCGAAGGAGGAGTTTAAAGAAAGAAAGGGGTGTGGTAGAAGTCCCCAAGTTGCTAGGAAGGAGCTGTGCAGACTGTGCTGGTCATGGTTAGACCAGGAAACGTGTTCTGTTCTCTCTTTGAAACAGAATCCCAGAATCACTGAGGTTGGAAAAGACCTCTGGGATAGAGTCCAACCTGTGTTCTATCACCCAGCCCAGAGCACTGAGTGCCACGTCCAGTCCTTCCTTGGACATCTCCAGGGATGGGGACTCCACCACCTCCCTGGGCAGCCCCTTCCAATGTCTGACAACCCTTTCCATGAAGAAATTCCTCCTGATGTCCAACCTGAACCTCCTCTGGCACAGCTTGAGGCCACATCTTCTTGTCCTGTCTCTACTCGCCCAGGAGAAAAGCCAAACTCCCACCTGGCTAAAACCTCCCACCAGGGAGTTGTAGAGACAAATAAGGTCCCCCCTGACCCTCCTTTTCTCCAGGTTGAGCCCCCCCAGCTCCCTCAGCTGCTTCTCTGTGACTTACATACTTCAGACCTGGACTGTGACAAAAATGGCTTCATGCTTTGTAATGACACTGCTCTGAAAAATCTAAACACAAATTTCTGTCTCGTCCCTCATGTTGTTTTTTTTTTTTCCCCTC